GGAAGCCTGCTTCTCCCCCTTCCGCTCCCCCTGCTTGTGATCCTGCTCTCGCTGTGTCTCTTTGTCAAATAAATAATAAAATCTTAAAAAAAAATTATTTATTCCACTGATTTGGAATGTTGTAGAAGATATAGTGAGTATATACAATGTTTCATAAAAGTGTGCCTATTTAGATTCTATTTGCAGTTTATTTAATTTTCTTTCTTTTTTTTTTTAAAGGAGAAGACCTAAGGTAAGAGCAGCAGGAGAAAGATACAATGTTGAACATGATGTCACAGAACAGTCTCTCTGTCCCACTGAGTGACAGCTGCCCCTGGCACGGTTCCACGGCCAGGATGCAATCAAGGGTTTTCTTTCAGCACCAGCTACCAAATCCTGGCCCCAATGTCAGGGGAGGACCTGTGAAAGTGCTATATTTACAGTTTTAAAGAAACACATATTTATATATTTCATATAGTTTATACTGTTATACTACAGATCATAAATTTTCTGGGCAGTAAAGTGAAATCTTTACAAAAAGCCCATATTATTTCTATAATAAAAAAAATTTTTATCCTAAACATACGCCCACACAAAAACCTTTATAGGTATGTTCACATCAGCATTTTTCATAGCAACCAAAAAGCTAACATAACCCAAATGAGCATCACCTGATGAACTGAAAAATGAAACAAAATACCGATACACGTTAAAACACGTGAACCTTGAAAATATGCTAAAAGAAGCCAGAAACAAAAGGCCACATTTCCATTTACATAAAAGATCCAGAATATGGCAGATCCACAGACACAGATAGATTAGTGGTTGTTAGGAACTGGAAAGGAAATGGGGAGTGCTATGGACTGTTTGTGTCCCACCATGTTCCAATGTTGAAGTCCCAATTCCCAGAGTGATGGTATTAGGAGATTGGGCCTTTGGGAGGTAATTAGGTTTAGATGGAGTGATGAGAGTGAAGCCCACACAATGCGATTAACAGCCTTACAAGAAGAGACCACAGAGACTGTCACCTAGTTTTCTCTCTGCCATGTTAGGACACAGAAAGAAAGTAGCTGCCTGTAAACGACGAAGAGGGTCCTCACCAGAACTCAACCATACTGGCACCCTGATCTCAGACTTCCAGCCTCCTGAACTGTGAGAAATAAATGTTTGTTGTTTAAGCCATTCTATGGTATTATTTTTACTGTGGTGTGAACAGGGAGTGACTGCTAATGGGTAAAGGGTTTCTTTTTGGCATGATGAAAATGTTCTGGAATTAGATAGTGGTGGTAAAAGCATAACCTCATAAATATGCTAAAAACCACTGAACTAAATATTTAAAAGGATGAATTTTATAATGTGAATTATATCTCAGAGAGAAAAAGGAAAAAATAGGCAAATAAATCCTGTTTATTCTTACTTTGGATTTCCTAATGGTCCCCCTGCAAATTGGGAGTTTCTGTCTAGAAATTCTTGCAAACCTTTTAGTTCTTGTAGCACTGACTCCAACAGTTGGGAGGGAACACTACTTTCAATCTGTAAGAAAAAAAGTATTTTCAAAAGCTTTAAAACACTGAAAAACTGTATATGTAAAAAACATACTCTTTATAACTCAATGTCAAGTTTTAATAACAGTAATTATTTATGCTTGTTGCAGAATAAAGGACTAGATAGCCACATCCCTCCTGTCCTGCTCTGGTTTGTTTTAGGTATAATTTACAGACAGTAAAATAAACACATCTTAAGTGAATATCTTGATAGCTTTTTATATTTTAATTCAGTCACCACCCAGACCACAATACAGAATATTTCCAACACCCAAGAAGTTCCCTAATGCTCCTTTCTAGTCACTAGTCATTCCATCTCCCAGCAAACCACTTTTCTTATTTGTCACCATAGGTTAGCTTTGTCTGTTCTTGAACTTCATATAAATGGAATCATATACTATGTTAAATAAATATATTCTTCTTCTTAGAAATGTGAACTTTAAAAGAGTATCAGAATCGAAAAAATATTTGGTATCTTTCAGATTTAAAAAGAAAAAAGCTTAAAATAAATTGCATTCATATTTCATGTTTAAAAAATTTTACTACCTGAATTTATGATAATACAAAGGTTTACAGAATTTATTCTTTTTTTTTTTTTTAAGATTTTATTTATTGGGGCACCTGGGTGGCTCAGTTGGTTAAGTGTCTGCCTTCTGCTCAGGTCCTGATCCCAGGGTCCTGGGATCGAGCTCCACGTCGGGCTCCCTGCTCATCGGGGAGCCTGCTTCTCCCTCCCCCTCTGCCTGCCACTCTGCCTACTTGTGCTCACTCTCTATTTGTCAAATAAATAAAATCTTAAAAAAAAACTATATTTAATTTATTTATTTGAGAGAGAGAGACAAGCAGGGGGGAGAAGGAGAAGCAGGCTCCCTGCTGAGCAGGGAGCCCGATGCAGGGCTCGATCCCAGGGCCCTGGGATCATGACCTGAGCCAAAGGCAGACCTTAACCGACTGAGCCACCCAGGCACTCCTACAGGATCTATTCTTAAAGTACTCTAGAAAGTATATTTATGCATGGAAATTAGTACTGGGTTCATGGAATTCGGGAGCATATAAGCGAAATATTAAATAGTAGCTTTGAGTAAATATTAAGGATTAGGACTTACTCTGTTTAACCCTCACAACAGGTTATTATTCTCACCTTATAGTGAGGTATCAGACTGAAATATTAAGAAAATGACTCATCATTTATATAAGTGATGGAGCTGGGACTTCACCCAGGGCAAGGAGTTTATTGGACACGTACACAAACACGTCCATAAAAGAATAATCAGCATCTTGTTTCTAACACCAAGAAATGTGAAACAATCTATTTATACAATACCATAAAATGGTTACATACAGCAATGGAATACATTATACAACACACTTACTGCAGTGATTTCTCTGTTGCCACTCTTGAATACTCTCTCCACAACTAAACTCGCATCCCAGATATTTCTGAAATAAAAAAGTTTTAATAATTATGCTGTATAAACAAAAACAATTACAATATGTAGTAAATTCCTGTCTGTGTGTTTATCAAAGTACAGCAATGATTTAATACTTCACAAAGTTATCTAAAAGAATGGAAAACAAGAAAATTTCTAAACCTGATATACCTAAGTTATTTCACATAATGAAATACTGCTGAGAAAAAATCAAAAGACTCTGGGCAATGGATTGTAAACAAAGTTTATAATGCAAAAACAAATTTATAAAAGAGTATTGCACTGCTTCACATTTTAAGCAAATGATTCAAATGAAAGCATCCATCTCAAATCTAAGACAAATATATAGCAGACAGGATAATTAACTGGATGATATGGTAGACTAATTGCAAAAATGGCTGTAATTCTTTGTCCCTCCTTATAGTTATCCTTTACAATATGACTTTGATGTGTCTCTCATAATGAGTTTATTTCCCATGTTTGAATGGATTCAATTTTTTTTTTAAAGATTTTATTTATTTATTTGACAGAGAGAGACATAGCGAGAGAGGAAACACAAGCAGGGGGAGTGGGAGAGGGAGAAGCAGACTACCCTCTGAGCAGGGAGCCCGACGCGGGGCTCGATCCCAGGACCCTGGGATCATGACCTGAGGCAAAGGCAGACACTTAACGACTGAGCCACCCAGGTGCCCACCCCCTGGCTTTTTACAAATATTTTATTTGAATGAATTCTATTTTTTAATCTGGGTTGGCCTGGAGATGTTTCCCTGGCCCAGTGAATGAGGTTAAAATAATGGTAAGCCGGGCGCCTGGGTGGCTCAGTTGGTTAAGCGACTGCCTTCGGCTCAGGTCATGATCCTGGAGTCCCGGGATCGAGTCCCGCATCGGGCTCCCTGCTCGGCAGGGAGTCTGCTTCTCCCTCTGACCCTCCCCCCTCTCATGTGCTCTCTCTCATTCTCTCTCTTTCAAATAAATAAATAAAATCTTTAAAAAAAAAAAAAAATAATGGTAAGCCAACTTTAAACCTAGGCATCAAGAAGCTTTGCAAATTTCTACCCTGTCTCATGGGACTTTGCCATCACCAAGGGAATAACCCCTGGCTAACCTGCTGGAGGATGAGAGACCATGTGAAAAACAAAAACCCAATTGTCCCAGCAGAGACCATTCTACACCTGCATACAAACATGACCCTAAACATGTGAGACTCCAGCCAAGATTGACAGGGCTCTCTTCAATCCCACAGCTGAATGAGTATAAATGAGTTAGTCTAGCTAAGACCAGAACCACCTAGCTGACTTGCAGATACAGGTCACTGAGTTAATGGGGTGGTTTGTAACACCATATGTTAATATGTATGTGTATACATATATATAAAACACAACAAATATAGATGGTTAGATGATTAAAAAAAAGCTAAATAGAATTTTATTAATGAACAAGTGAGCTAAATAAAACTGTAAGTTAAATTTAACAGGAATAAATGATGTCCCAAATTTAAAGTTAAAAATATTCAACTACACAAAATAGGACAAGGTGAGCAATAGTTGGTTATTCCATGCAAAACTTACCCCATGATTCGAGAAAAGTAAATGCAAATACCATTGTGTTTTCCAGAGTACACAATCTCTGGTGCAGCCATACAACTCATACTTGTGGCCTGAGTTGCTGGGTTTCCTGAAACACACACTGGAGTTGACATGGCAGGAGGATGTACACCTTGTACACAACATAAGAAAGACAAATCTTTAAATTTAACCTTAAACATTCAGCATCCTCAATAACCACAGCCTGTGTATGTAGGCCCAAAGGTAAGAATCTGTACAAAAATACTGGAATAAATAGGTATTGAATTTGGTTTTCCCCAGTAAGAAGAGACTCAGATTGGATAGATGCTCCCAGGTAGGCTTTCTAAGTGTCGGCATGCAGGATAAAAGGCAAGAAAGCTTGCAATCACTCCTCCTTAATGTTGGGAGTCAAACAGAGCTAATTATACAGATTTCATGGCTGCATATTAAATCCTGGTACCCAGATAAGGAGCTTTCAGGTATACTACTAAAGGTGTTCCTACGCAAAGGCATTCATGGCCAAATGTCAATACTTGCTTGGATGTAACTTCTATTCAACTACATTATTTTCAAGAGACTAGGGGAAGTTAATATTTCTTTCACTAAGCATTAAGGATAACAGTGTTAGCTCTTCAAAAAGAATAGTAGTAGCAATATAAAACAAAGAAAAGAGGTACCTTGAGACGGTGTTCCCAAAAATGATGGATTTGGATATGGACTACCACTAGGAATAGGAGAACCTAAAAAGGAAAGAAGATATAAAGATTTATAAAATAACCTCCCAATCTTTTAAATCTGATTAAATTAGGAGAAGCTGTTTCTCAGCATGAGTGCGGAGTGGCACTATCCATGAAATTTTTAAGATTTAGGGACTCCGCTGATTTCCCAGGCATTTTCTAATAACTCCCACTGAGGAAAACATTGAGGTGGGAGTTTACTTGTTATGAAATCATTCACCTCCTTCCTTTTGGATAAATAACAAATGAGTTCTATAAATACTACTGGTTACATGTTATTTTGTTCTCTAACATGCATGAAGAACTCAGTATTAATATATCCTTGCTTTTAAGAGTCAGACATCTATAGAACTGTATTCACCAATAAAACAGTAGCAAGTAAATAAATATAAGGAAAAGCTTTGTTCATTTAAATATGCTAAGCAGTTTCTAAAACTCAAACTATTAGAAATAGTCTCATTTCAGTATTTTGTACTCACTAGAGTAGACAGGAGACCCCAAGATGGGACCAACATTACTTGGAGCAGGGAGAGTGGGTGGAAATCTCATCTGTGCTTCACCACCGTACCTGTTTTTATGACAACAGAGGCTGATCTTATTCAGTGAAATTATCCACCTTAAAAGATGGAATTGTTCCAAGTCCTGCTAGCTCCCAAATAAATGCTTTAAACATTACAGACTTCAATGTATTTTACAGTACTTATATCTATAAGCATAGCTACAATACTTATTTAGAAACTGTTGACTTGAACCTCTACCAGAAAGAATTATAAGCGACTCTAGCAATCTCTAAGGGTCAGCAATGCAAAGAATTTACTTAAGAGTATATGGCACTGTAATTTTCATACCAGATTACAGTTAGATAGCACTTGAAAAATTGTTTTAAACAAATCACATTTCAAATTCTTACCTATTGCTAAATATTTTCCAAATAAAAATATCGTTTTGATACGAAGTTTCCTTTAAGTGATTTAGAATCCCTCAATGCCAATGATACAAGTAAAGCAGAATCGATATAGTGTTTTAGGAAGTAAAAAAGATATGGTAACTGGAGTAGAAAGAAGTGTAGAAAAAAGACTAGACAGAAGTTGGAGAACAGAACCCAGAGCAAGGGTAACAATTCATACATTGTATTAATCTAGCTACGTCTATTAGCATTATAATCTTTCCAGATTTCATCCTTTTGCAAAAAAATTTTACTATCTTGCCTATATAGTTCTTCAACTGTTTGGTAAGCCCTTAAACTACCACATTGACCAATGCTTTCATTAAAAAAAGTGGCCAAGAACAAAAGAAAACTGACATATACCTGAAGAAAGCCCGAGTGGCCCATGCAGATACTTCTCTATCACAGGCAGCAGTGGAACAAGCAAGGATAAGGCAGGTTGCACAAGCCTGGTCTTCCTATTTAAAAAAAAAAAGTTTCTTCCCTTATAGTAAACATAAACATTTAAAAAGAAGTTTTGGTTATTCTTGTATCCAGTGTTTCAATTTGTACCTAGCACAGAGCAAGTGCTCAATATATATCTCCTAAGTGAATGAAATCAGTTGGTATGAAAAAGGAGAACGTTTATCAGAGGCACTATCATTAAAGGGTGCTTTTTCTTTTTATCTAGACTCTATTTTAGTCTATAGTTTATTCCCCTAATTTTCTTTCTCATGGTCTTTTTACCTTTTAGAAAATAACAACAATATAGCTATTTATTAAGTACCTGACATGTGCCAGGTACTATTTTAAAAGGTTAGCATATATTAACTCCCACATCATACACTATTATAATGCCTGTTTTACACATGAAGAAACTGAAGTTCACAGAACTAAAGTAATCTAACCTGGTGGCAGAGCTGGTGATTTGAATCCAGTCTCTCTGTACTTAACTTTGATCTGATATTCTTGATCTTAAGCTTTCTGAGTTTTACCTTCTCAACTCTAGCAATGGCTTTGAAATACTAATGGCATTATCACTACTGCCCCAAATTTTTTCATCAGGTCATTGGCAAAAAAATTAAAAAAAAAAAAAAAAATTAAGCATTAAAAAAAAAGAGGGCGCCTGAGTGGCTCACAGTTGGTTAAACGTCTGCCTTCGGCTCAGGTCATGATCCCAGGGTCCTGGGATCGAGCCCCGCATCGGGCTCTCTGCTCGGTGGGAAGCCTGCTTCTCCCTCTGCCTGCCACTCTGTCTATCTGTGCTCTCTCTATCTCTCTGTCAAATAAATAAAATCTTAAAAAAAAAAAAAAAGATTTGTCCACAAATATCCTGTGTTTTAATAAAAATGTATTTATCATGTAACTTGAACATGAGTTTCTTACTAGTATACTTTAAAATAGGAACTTATCAATAACAGATAAAAATCTGAGTTTACTGTATAAGCTTTACTTATTAATACTTCTCCCAAATATTAGTACACAGATAATGACCAATGTAAAGAAAGAAAGACTGCTAAGAGTACCTATTAATTACAGTATTTTGATCCTAGCTTACATAAAATTCAGGTATTATTCTCATTGTTTTATTGTTTAAAATATCATAACATTTTTTTAAAAAGTACAAATAATTAATTACCTGATGTAATTTAAAGAATCTTTCAATCTCTTCTCCATCTCCACCCACATTACTCACAAGTAGGTGTCTCAGTTGATCTACAGGTCTAAGTTTATGAAACATAAGACTTCCCTAAAAAGTTTAAAAAAAAAAAACCACAACCATAAGTAATAGATTTATCTGGCATGGCTGGCATCAACTGACCCTGCTATTTTATTTAATAAAATCAACAAAACAAAAAAAACCCCTTCAAGAATACAAAGTAAACTGGCCAAAAAGAACATCTACATTTCAACTCCCAACCTATACTAGGTCTATATATGCCCAAAGAAAATTTAATAAGAAAACAATGCTCTGAATGTCCACAATGCCAAACTGTGGAAGGAGCCAAGATACCCTTCAACAGATAAATGGATAAAGAAGATGTGGGTCAAATATACAATGGAATATTACTCAGCCATCAGAAAGGATGAATACCCACCATTTGCATCGACATAGATTGAATGGAGGGGACTATGCTAAGTGAAATAAGTCAAGCAGAGAAAGACAATTATCATATGGTTTCACTCATACGTAGAACATAAGGAATAGCGTGGAGGACCACAGGAGAAGGGAGGGAAAACTGAATGGAAAGAAATCAGAGAGGGAAACAAACCATGAGAGACTCTGGACTCTGGGAACCAAACTGAGGGTTACAGAAGGGAGGGGGATGTGGGGTGGGGTCACCAGGTTATGGGTATTAAGGAGGGCATATGTGGTGAGGAACACTGGGTGTTATACGCAACTAATGAATCATTGAACACTATATCAAAAACTAATGATGTACTATTATGTTGGCTAATTGAACATAAAAAAAGATATCACCTCAAAAAAACAAACAAACAAAAAACACTGCTCTGTAACACATAAAATGTATTCAGAGGGCATGTGCTATTACCATGCATAAAACATAGGTTTATAAAATGTTGTATCTACAGAGCCAGAACCTTAATTTATTTTTTGGTGGCGGTGAGTGTTTTCTTATTAAATTTAGAAAGTTGTCATACAGGTTCAAGTAAATATTTGAATTTAGAATACGATAAAAGCTGTCCCTCAAACCAGAGGATTAAAGTTAGATTATCCATTAATTATGTTGGCATATGTCCATTTAGAAAAAAAATGAAGCTGGATCCTTAATCAGGATATCAGGATAAATTCCAAACAGATCAGAGATTTAAAGGACAAAAATAAAACTATAATACTACTAAAAGCAACTGTGGGTAAATTTTTTTTTATAAACCTCAGAATGAGGAAGGTTTTTTTTTTTTTACTACTTTTATAAATCCGAAAAGATAACAGAAAATTTCGACTAATATGCTTACCTGTATGGGAAAAAGTCTCAGTAAACAAAATAAAATGACACACCAGGAAAAATATGATACTAAAATTACAGTAAGTTTCCTTGATAAAGAGCTTCTATAAATCAAAATGAAAAAGAGAACTCAATAAAATAGGGATAGTCCATAGAAAAATAAACACTTGAAAAGACTGTCCAAAGAAAACAAAAACAGAAAACAAAAAAGAACCAAAAAAAAAAGACTGTCCATCTTACTCTTATTAAAATGGCATATTATACTTGGACAGGATGTAAGGAAACAGGCATCAATATTCATCGATAGTGAATGTATGCACGTATATATGAATACAGGGGAATCTGGCAACATCTATCAAAATTAGAAACGCACATATTCTTTCACCCAGCAGATATAATTCTACAGCTTTATTCACACACAAAGAAAATGATATACACATAAGGTTGTAGCATTATGAACAGCAAAAAATAATCCATCAATAGGGACCTAGTTAAATAGGGTACATTCATATAAAAGAAAACCTTTCAAATACAAAATAGAATGAGAAAGTTCTTTATATAATGATATGAAAAGATCTCTAAAATATGTATCTGAGATATAAAAAACAAGGTATAAAATGGTGTATGTGATACACTACCATTTATTTAGAAATATTTTGTTTGTATGTCCACACCTCTGGAAGGATACACAGATGCTGATGACATGGGCGTCTGTAGGGAAGGGACCTCAACTGGAAGGGAGATTTTATTCTGTATACTCATTATACCATTTGAATTTTAAATGCATCACTATTCCAAAATCCAATATTAAAAAATGTTTTTTTATAAGTTAAGTGAGAATTATAATAATAAATTTAGGTTATTTTGTTTTATGCTGCTAAACACTGGTACTAGAAATGGTACTTAAAAAAAAAATAGAACACTTCATAAACAGCAAGCTCTTTTTGTTGCATTTTTGGTATTTAAAATTATTCCTTAAGAATATCTTTAAGAGTAAACTCTCCTGAAGTCTTTATGACTCCATTAAGCAAATATTGCAAAATACATAACATTAAACATGGCTTCTTTATTGTCTCCACCTTAACAGAGTATGTACATACCTGTGCTGAGAGGAGAACAAATTTCTTTGGAGGCAACATGTGCTGCTGTACCACAACCGGTGAGTCAGTTATTGGAATATGATCCTTATTTAAGGGTGTAATTATTTTATCTACTTTCAATTCATCTATTGCAGAAAGAGCCCAGGAATGACCATCAACACGGGTTGTCATCTATACAAAAGAAATAAACTTTTTATACCTGCTATTAAAGTTACATAAAGCAAACCTTCCAAAAAGGAAAAAACATATAGACCTAATTTCTAAGGAAATACAGAATTTTACAAATTAATAACACATGTATGTGAGCATTCCTAAGTTTCTATTTAATGCTCTACCATCTATTCCTTTAATCAGGCCAGCTTCTATGACAATTATCTTTCATGAAAGAAGGGAAAGACAAAATCTTCTTAGGATAAACTGTAAATAGTGTTTACTAGAATTGTAATTCTTTCAATATCCAAAAACTATATTCTACCATCTTTAGTAGTAGTAGAGGTTGGTTTATCCGGTTTGATCAGCATCCTCAGGAGGTAGGCAGCATGGGCAATGCAAGGGCATTCAGGAGAAGTAAATGGGGTAGAACAGGGGATACCAACAGTGGGGAGCAGAGATAGCCTTCCTTGGCCATACCCTTGGAGGTGCTGGCCTCTTCTTAGCTCATTTTGTGCTGAGGGCTGAGACGAGCAGCCAAGGTGTGAGACTGGGCTAGGACAGGCTGGGGCTGCACCTCTCATCCAGGACCTGTACATCAATTTCATGTAATATGCAGTGGTATTTGCTTTTAAAACACAATTATGGGGGCGCCTGGGTGGCTCAGTCATTGAGCGTCTGCCTTCGGCTCAGGTCATGATCCCGGGGTCCTGGGATCGAGCCCCACATCAGGCTCCCTGCTCGGTGGGAAGCCTGCTTCTCCCTCTCCCACTCCCCCTGCTTGTGTTCCCTCTCTCGCTGCGTCTCTCTGTCAAATAAATAAATAAAATCTTAAAAAAAAAACCCCACGATTATGTGTTTATGTGTGGACATTTGTATATGCAGGGAAGAGAGATCAAAACAAGATGCGGGGGCGCCTGGGTGGCTCAGTCGTTGAGCGTCTGCCTTTGGCTCAGGTCCGGATCCCGGGGTCCTGGGATCGAGCCCTGCGTCGGGCTCCCTGCTCAGTGGGAAGCCTGCTTCTCCCTGTCCCACTCCCCCTGCTTGTGTTCCCTCTCTGGCTGTGTCTCTCTCAGTCTCTGTCAAATAAATAAATAAATAAGTTAAAAAAAAAAAAAGAAAACAAGATGGGGAAAATCATTCCTCTATTCTTCTGTATGTTCAAAAATTTCTATAATTAAGGGGCACCCCTAAATAAATAAAATCTTTAAAATAAATAAGTAAATTTAGGCAGAACTACAAATTAAAGACATCATTAAGATAAAATTCTAAGGGGTGCCTGGGTGGCTCAGTTAAGTGTCCTACTCTTATTTCAGCTCAGGTAATGATCTCAGGGTGATGAGATCGAGCCCTGCATCAGGCATGGCACTCAGCGAGGAGTCTGCTTGAGATTCTCTCTCTCCCTCTGCCCCTCCCCCACCCCATGTATGCACACACTCTCTAAAATAAATAAAATATATCTTTAAAAAAGATACAATTATTTTATTTTTTTTTAAGACTTTACTTATCCATCTGCCAGAGAGCGAGAGCGAGACAGAGCACGCACGAGCAAGCGCACAAGCAGGGGGAGCAGCAGACAGGAGAAGCAGGGTCCCTGGTGAGCAAGGGGCCCAACACGGGACTCAATCCCAGGACCCCAGGATCATGACCTGAGCCAAAGTCAGATGTCCAACCGAATGAGCCACCTAGGCATCCCAAAAAAGATACAATTCTAAGTCATAACTATAATGGATGACCTCATAATTAAGTAACTAAAATCATAATATATTTAAACGGCACAAAAGTCATTTCAGAAAATATGTATGCATTTTTTGGATACAGTATGAGAAACATTCTAAAATGATTCCAATGTTTAAAGATATATATATATATATATATTTTTTAAAGATTTTATTTATTTATTTATTGGAGAGCGAGAGAGAAACAGCATGAAAGACGAGAGGGTCAGAGGGAGAAGCAGGCTCCCCACTGAGCCGGGAGCCCGATGTGGGACTCGATCCCAGGACCCTGGGATCATGACCTGAGCTGAAGGCAGTTGCTTAACCAACTGAGCCACCCAGGCGCCCAAAGATATATATATTTTTTAAAGATATTATTTATTTATTTGAGAGAGAGAATGAGATAGAGAGAGCATGAGAGGGGGGAGGGTCAGAGGGAGAAGCAGACTCCCTGCTGAGCAGGGAGCCCGATACGGGACTCGATCCCAGGAGCTTAACCAACTGAGCCACCCAGGCGCCCTGTTTAAAGATATTTTTAATGATTACCATAATGACTTCTAACCTCACGAAGGAAAAACAAAGAATTAACAGGATATACTTCTTTTCAATATGATTTCTAATCATATATGATTGTTCAAAATAAATGCTATTACAACATAAAGATTCTTATAATTTTACTCTTTACTTAAAATTATAAATTATAGGGGCGCTGGGTGGCTCAGTTGGTTAAGCGACTGCCTTCGGCTCAGGTCATGATCCTGGAGTCCCGGGATCGAGTCCCGCATCGGGCTCCCTGCTCGGCAGGAAGTTTGCTTCTCCCTCTGACCCTCCCCCCTCTCATGTGCGCTCTCTCTCTCTCTCTTTCTCATTCTCTCTCTCAAATAAATAAATAAAATCTTTTTTAAAAAAAAAATTATATAAAAAATTAAGATTCTCAGGATAACTTACCTGGGTTTCCATCATTGGCTTTTGGAAGGGAAATGTATCATGGTTGACACACCACAAAATGTCATTATCTTCATTTTCTGAAGCTGCCATCAGTAGAATGCCTAGAAGTTTAATACACAAAATCTTACTATATGATGCCAAATAATATGCATCCCCAATGTTCTTAAAAATATTAACTACTAACATCAATATATATAACATATATACATAGCATGTATTGTTGTAAGTAAACAAGTCACAAAATAAAAAAAATTAATCCCTTAAAAGGACATATAATTATTAATAGGGTAGAATCATTAAGTGTTCCAGATCTTACACTTCCATTTCTTTTGAGTAAACACTTTTTTCACATCTTAAAATTTTTGACGTTATGACATATTTTGCAATCAATGGGCTTATGAATTTAATTAACTTTAAAAAAGTACATTTAATACATAAAAAATGTTGTGACTTTCAATCAACGGTATCTAATATTCAATGAAACAGAATTTCATGTACTGATTATCTCAAACATCATGAATAAAAATGACGAAGTTACTAGTGGAATGGCAGAGTAAACTATAAAAGCATCATCTCAGCAATATTAGTTGATTTTGAAATATACTCTCTTGTGCTCAATTCCAGCTCCTCCCGCTAACTTGTTTCCTTTATACTGACTTGAGAGATAGCAGCCTTAAGTCCACTGGATGCTTACAGGTGTAAGGACATTATTAATGTAAGAAATTAAAATATTCTAAATTTTATTGGAAAATTTATTATTTTCAAATGGCTCAAAAGACATTCTAATTTTAACAATTTAAAAAATCCAATCTTAAATCTGATACGATATCAGAACTTACCTTTACTATAAAGAGCTTTATGTACTTTTGAAGGCTTTTCCACTGTTGAAGACGCTGAGAATCCAGGAGGTAAGCGGACATGAACCAGTGTCAATGTATTAGGTCGTGTTAATGGTTGTCTGAATGGACAAGTGCTGAAATATAACCTTACACCTGATGATGGGATAAAATTATACATCAGTAACAGAAAATGAAAGACTTGAGGTCCTTGTGTGATTGAAGCAATTCCACAGAGAAACACAGACACTTGTTAAAGTCCTAGAATCACCTTCCTGACTAATCTTAAATCACCATGTGTAATACCACCTGAAGTAGAGTTCTAAGACAGTGTCACTTGGAATTGACAGGTGAATCAACACATTTTAGCAGAAAGAATCTGCAACTATAAGCCAAGAGAGTCCTTTTTCCTATTCAGGCTCTGTCACTGAGTATTAGCCACTTCACCCGTCAGACCTAGTTTGACATCTATAACATGAGGAGACAAAACCACAAGAATCTTCCAATTTTCAAAATCCTTAATTTTACGAATTATTAATATGGCTTGATAACTGATACAGAAGTAAAAATGCATTTCTAATCACAAATTTCCAAGTCTGAGGATTATCAAATTCTAAAACCAAGAGCAGACACAGAAATTAAACAGCATACCTGCATGTGTAACCGCCAATAACTGACAGTCCAGGGATTCAGAATTTTCAATCACTGCTATTTGAACAACCGGCTTAAAAACAGAACGATCTATGGTCCTACAAGAAAGGAAAAAAAACTAGTCTAATATGCTAAAATAAGACTAACTTCTTGGGAAATTAACACAGCAGCAGCAAGAGCAGGCAAACCCCCTGAATATGAGTTTACATTGTTAGACATTACCCTGTTTTCAAAGATCATAAAAGAAGGCTAACTCCATTGGGTAAATGGTTAATGAGGAAGAAGGTGTTCTCAGAGCATCAAATTATCATTGTAAAGATTACCGCTAATTAAAAAGAAGGAAAAATGAAACTTTATAATGGAAAAATCTGGTAAATAGCACCTTAACCAAGTATTCAATAGTGGAAAACCTGGTGGTTACGTGCCTACTGATGTAACACTGCAAGGAGTAATTCTGGTAAAACCAAACCAAAACCTCAATCTAATGATAATGGAAAAAGGACAAATTCAGAAATTGAGATATTCCACAAATAAGACTCTTGCCCCTCCCCACCAAATGTGAATATTTAGGGGAAAAGAAAGACAATGAGACATCTATTCTATATTAATGAGACAAATGACCAATTTAATTCATGGGCTCTGACTGAATCTGGGGAAAAATGGAAAGAAAAACAGCTATGAAAGATTTTTGGGACTGTTAAGTAATGTTAATATGAACTATATAATTAGAAGATAATACTACAAAATTACTAATTTTTTTAGGTGTCGAATTGGTATTGTGCTTCTGTAAGAGACTTAGGACATGAAAGTTGAAGGATTTAAGGGTGAAAGTCATGATGTCTGCAACTTACTTTCAAATAGCTCATAAGAATGAAAGTGAGCAAATAAGGGAAAACAGTAACAACTGTTGAATTTGGATAATTTGATAGGGTATTACCAGTTTTTACCATGCTGCTCTTCTAGTTTTTCTGTAGATTTGAAAACGTTTCCAAAAAAAAAAGTAAAGTTGGAGAAGAAAAAGGAAACCCTTTGTTTAAGATTGTCTGCCTTGAAAATTTTTTTGTCACTGAAAAGCAAAGAAAGCATTGAATTTTTGCTAGGATAGGTGAATGCAGCAATGACCCAAGCACATAGAAAACCGAAGCTGAAAATTTGAGGCCTTTGTTATTTGAAAAGAATTTCTGCAGCTGAGCTAAATTAGTTGTGATATACATAAATCACAGTGTACAGTGTCTGAAAAGTTGGCTTGTAACTTGGGTACTAGTACTTCTCTAGGACTCAGAGTTCAGACAAATCTTAACATCCTTTAGTTTCAATTTCGTCAAGAATACAATGTGAACAATAAAACGGTGAAATTCTGTATTCCCAAACTGCCCTGTGTCAATTATCAGACCAACTAAACTTATACTACACAGGCCTGTTAAAAGGTTGGAGCGGTGATCGCAGGGTCCTGGGATCGAGCCCTGCATAGAGTCTGCTTCTCTCACTCACTCTCACTTGTTCTTTCTCTCAAATAAATAAATAAATAACATAAATAAAAGGTTGGAGTGGGTACTAGTGGGGAACTTTGAGACATGTAGTTTCCTAGTGACAACTCCTGTAATTGCCTGTATAGACCACCTAAAGCTTAACACATTCCAAGGAAAAATCAAGCTGTACTTTACACTGTAAAAAAAACCAGTCTGCCTTATGTTTCAAACCATCCAACAATAGAATTAAAGGAAGAGTCTTTCTCTAGGAACTGTTTCAAACATAACCTCCAGTGTCATCTTCAGCATTCCTTACCTTTTAGAGATATTTTGAAGAGGAAATAATTTTAGTATGCCGCACATACATAGCATAATGATATGCCTTGTACAAATGAAATGCCTGACAATTAATTACCTAGCAATGTTTCCAGCAGCAGAAACAATAGAATTCTGTGAAACTGAGGCAACTCTGCTCATTCCTTGTCCATCTTGGCCCAAATCATATACCTGTGAATAAAAAATTGTACCCACTTAAACATAACTATAGCCCATACGCATTTTACAAAATAAACTTTTAGAAGACTCTTCCTTTTTAGGGATCCTTTAATTTAGACACTTCACACAGATATGGAAACATCAGAGATTTGAAATTTCATAAAAAAGAAGCCCTAAGAAGTAGTTTGGGATGTATTTTTAAAAAGCACACAGCTCATAGGAAAAGGCTAAGAGTAACTGAATCTCTTCCTTAAAAACAGGGATGTTCTTACTCCCCTTAAATAGTAGTGTATTAATACTTGCCTGTATTACTCCTTTCTCAGACCGTGTATATAAAATGTTTCTAGAATTATCAACTGCAATTTGAACAATAGGATCTAAAAATAAGACAAAGGAAAAAAACCTCTAAAGATTAACGAATTAAACAGAGTAGCCATTTCTAACAAATTTAAATTGCTGAATTAGAACTTTGCATTCAGGGGCTTTCTCTTGCTTTGCAGGTAAGTCCCATGATATTTGCATGAGGACAAAGGCAAGAAGCATTTAAATCAGACAAAATATGAAAAAAGCAGACATCAAATACTGTGACTAGATGAAGAGCCTCACAAATAAATTACTGTCTTCTTAATGAATTTTAAGCCAAATCAAAACCAAGTTCTAGATTATTTCTTCATTCAACAAACATTTAATGAATGTCTACTATATGCTAGAAACACAGGAAATAATTATACTCCGTGCATTCCTTCAAGAAAATAAATCATTGTGTGCGGGCGCCTGGGTGGCTGAGTCGGTTGAGTGTCTGACTCTTGATTTCGGCTCAGGCCACGATCTCGGGGTCATGGGATTGAGCCCAGTGTTGGGCTCCATGCTCAACACGGAGTCTGCTTATCCCTCTCCCTTTGCTCCTCCCTGTTCCTCCCACTGTTCATGCTCTCCCTCTCAAATAAATAAAATCAAAAAAAAAAGAAAAAAAGAAACCTTACGACTATATAACAACTGTTATTTACTTAGTAAGACAAACTTTCAGTTAAGAATGAGAATTTCTGAAGAAAATGTTAAGTCAACAATCTTAAAAAATTTTTTTTGCCAAATTTATTGTTTTCTACTTACCATCTTCTGAGAATGTGAATTGTAGCAATGAAGGAACAAGGAAAGAAAGTGCGCTCTTTGAGTGGTTTATTTTCCTACATCTTTGGCTAAACCAACCTGCTTCTGCCTTAAAAGAAAAATTGAAAGAAGCAAGACTTGTAAATGTAGACACATTTGTCATAGCAACTAACCGTATAACCACATGTACAAAAATCCTCAAATCTTAGTGAAGTACCAATAATTGTAAATAAAGTGAGACATACTACTTGGAATAAGTACTGAGTTTAATCCTTTAATTAATAATAGAAAATGTAGTTAGCCATAATCAAATCATAGCTCTCAATGAAATCAGCTATTTCAAAACCTCATAGTGCTATGTTAATAAACTCATATTTTAATTATCTTAAAAACTCTTTGGGCGCCTGGGTGGCTCAGTTGGTTGGGCGACTGCCTTCGGCTCGGGTCATGATCCTGGAGTCCCGGGATCGAGTCCCGCATCGGGCTCCCTGC